AGAGGGACTCACTGACACAGAGGGAAGCTGTGGAGCATCTGGAGGACAAATAAACATGCATTAACCTTCAACTGAGAATGTTATCATAAAACATAATCAGTTTTGTTTGTTGATGTTTTGCTTCCTAAAGAGAATCAGGAAGAAATTAAGGAAAGTAAAACAGAATACATTCACTGTTGTTTTTAATGTTTGATCATTGTCACTGTCCAGGGTGCTGATCCTGGAGCTCACTGTCCAGGGTGCTGATCCTGGAGCTCACTGTCCAGGGTGCTGATCCTGGAGCTTACACTTGACCGTGGTCATGAGATTTTAAAGACTCTGTGTTGCTTGTGCGCTTTATTCCAATTACACACCTTGAAAGTAGCATTGTTTCCTATTTTCCTTTTTTATTTCTAAGTATCTTCTGATGATTTCTTTCTGTGATAAAACTGTCCCCAATTCCTATTTGTGTGTAGCTAAATAATAAAACTATGAGTTAACTGAATGACTGAAATATCAGTTTGAATAAAAGAATAAAAGAGAAGTGAACTCACACACTGAAGGAGAGGGGAACATCTCGTATCCTTTTATAGCACAATAATAGCTGTCAGCAGAATTTACTGGATGTGGATGAAAATAAACTTTCTCATTTTCAACTTTCAGTTCATTCCTGTACCAGACGTAAGACAGCTCTGTTCAGGTAGAATTCTGCTTGACTGTTGATCTCCTCACATGTACCTGGAGCTGTGGCTTACCGTTTTAGCTCGTTTCGCACCTCAATACTGAACCAATTTTAGAACGAGTTGTACCCATGAATCATATGCACACATACACATGGGGAAATAGAGCCCAGGTTGAAAAATACCAAAGTTGTCCTTTAAGTAAAATACATCATCTGTCTTAAAACGTCCCTGTTTTGTGTTAACGTTAATATGCTGATTATGATCTTGTAGAGATGTTTATTGTCACCCTGGTTATACAAGTACAATGATATGACTATATATGATATGAGCTATATTTGCTGAGAGTCTTCAATAAAGAAAACAGTAATCAGAAATATTATGGCTGATACAGACTGTGTCTGTGTAACATGACAGAATAGCTGGCTCCCCAAAGAACAGCAGGATGGTGCATCACTTTAAATGTTGCTGCTGCAAAGAATTGTGGGACGGCACTGTCTCCTTTCTTTTGTAAAGGATATTCTTGTACACTGTATGCTGCAGGAAATAAGTCAGGAAGCACTGAAGCATGTTTCCCTTTTATTAAGCGAACAGCTCTTGTCACTGCTGCCATCGAGGTACTTGTGAGACAGTTCACTCAGTTAGAATCCGTCTCAAACAAAAAGCACACACACACACACACACACACACACAACCACACAGGCACAGATATGTCTCTCATATTAAAGAAACGTGCAGTCATGACACAGAACACTCACTAAAAGGCTCCACCAGATGGCGTTATGGTAGCTAACGACTGTAAGTAAACTCACACACTGTAGGAGAGGAGGAGTTCTCATGTCCTGTTACAGCACAGGAATAGCTGCTTGCAGGATCATAAATGTCGTCTGTGAAAGAATGAGACTGTGGTGGCCACATTTTCTGTCCATTCTTGTACCAGATGTAGAGAGGAGGACCAGGCAGGTGACAGCTGCTGTGACACTTCAGCTCTGCCCTGATGTAAGACGTGTGGACCTCTGTTCTGCTCACCTGCACCTGGAGATCTGAACACGTGAAAGAGCAAAAGCAGTCTTCACTTTCGAGTATACTGAGAGAAAGAAAGAAAAGATGAGCACTTGTAAGTAATCAAATAAATACTGAGATGGAAATGTTACCTGTGACGGACAGAGTGACTCCTGGTACACCAGTATATCTCCCATCTGGTTGGCTTGTTAGAAATCTAAAATAGTACTCAGCTGAGTCGCTCTCTCTCAGGTCTGTGATGGTAAGAGTGCAGAGGTTGTTTCCACAGTGATACTGCACACGACCTGAATACTCCGGGTCCATTCTCAGATCTACATAAACACCATTACTCTCTTTCGTGTACCAAAATCTTTTCTCAGCTGGATTAACAGGGTATATTGTGGATGGGTATGTGTAGCTACAGTGTATTATCACTGTGGATCCTTTTAAGGCACAGATCTGAGGAGGAGTGTAAGTCACTTGCCAGCCATTTTCACCCTTCATCACTGTAACACAGGAGAAACCACAATTAGATTCACTACAGCATCAGAAAACTGACTTCATCTACCTCATCTGTGTTTCTAGAACTGCACTTCTTTTCAGACTCTTTACCCATTGGAGTGGACAGAAAAAATAAGACATGACAAGGTATAGAAATACACCATAACAATATATTTTTGTGTGTTTGTAAGATAATAGGGCACTGAAGGGATTAATAATTCCAGAAAGATTTAATGTGAAAATATGACAAAATCCACAAACAGCTGAGAGCTAACAATCTGGATACAGACATTTATACACCCAAGAAGAAGTACGTAGTGCACTTACAAGGTCCAGTGTTTTAAGGATAGGCAGCGCGTCACTTTAACGGTCAGATCTAGAAACATGGTGACCTACATCAAATAGCTAAATGAATTTAAGGTTCTTGCTTAAACTCACAGAGACGTAGAAACACAGTACCTGGCAGAGTGAGGAGAAGGACGACAAAAGTGAGACTCATAGCTGCTCCTCTCATCTCGCTGTGTGACTTCAGAGACGATAAGACATGTCTGCAGGTAAATCACATACAGCAGTCACATCACAGAACACTTCATGTGAAGGGAAGTGGTCTTGACAAGATAACTTGTGCATGTGGTCTGAAAGCAGAAGACAGAAGTCAAGCTGTTAAAAATACTCCACACTTCCTTCCTGTTGACATTATTTACATACGGCTTGAGCCAGAAGACTGAACTCAAGGCAAAGAAAGTAACTTGTTTTAGCACACTATGAACCTCTTTATATATCTATTAAAGAAGCTAGTTTTAAACACCATTTAAAGAGACTTTAAAAAAAACATGGGCACAATTTAGGGCCTAAAAAGTATTACAGTAGTGGTGAAAGGCAGATAAAAAGCTGGTACATAAAGTGGCCTAACAAACCTTACAAGAGGAAATCCATATAAACCCCCCTCTTCAGATCTTTGCAGTTGAGGAAACCAATGCAGGAAACCAATAAAGATTAGATAAGAGACTTGACTGATCCCCGGGGGGAAGTTCACGAGTTAGCGCAGCACAAGAGACAGACTTAGAGGGAAGTGAATGAGGAATGACTGCACTCTAGAAAATAAAAGAAATAAAGACAATAAAATGGAGCAACGCTGCAGCTCAGACACTTCTCATCTGCACTGCTGCCACTCAGCCTCACTTTTTGCTCACTGTGTCATCACTGCACTTTGTAGTTTGTCACCAGATTTTTCATTTTGCTTTATCACAGGCAGTTCTTTAAATGACTGTGACTGACAGAGACTGTTTGATTACACACAGATGTTGGATATCATGTTCTGCTGCTGCTCACCTAAAGGTGGGGCCTTATTCACAAAACATGTCGAGGCTAAAAGTTTCTCCTAAAGTACTCTTAAAATAAGAGTCAAAAGAGGTGTCAGTCCTAACTTTAAGACTTGCAATAATCTGGTCTGAGAGAAATTCCCAAAATGTTTCAGCTCTGATAGTAGCTCTTAAATCTGCAGGTGGATTATGAGCGAATGGAAACCTGGGCTCAGACCTGCCAACATCTCTCCTTCACAAGAGCAAGACACACACTTTGTCATTGTTATGCATCTTTTTGTGGTTTTGCATCTTTGTGGTAATTTTGTGTGTGGTAGTTTTGCATCTCTTTGTAGTTGTTTATCTCTTTTAGGTAATTCTGAGTCTTTTTGGTCGTCTTTGTGTCGTTTTGCCCATTTTTGTTGTTTTTGTTGTGTCTCTTTGCATCTCTTTGTGTCTCCTTTTGGTCATTTTGAGTCTCCTCCTGGTTGGTACATGTTAAATAAAGTGACATTTTGCAGGTGAAGGCCAGAGGGCCCCCCTGACACTTTGGGCCCCTGGGCCTGTGCCTAATAAACTAATTCAGTAATCCAAGCCTAAATCTGAGAGGCAGTCCAGAGGACTCCTGTTCACTTCAGTAAGCTGCTGCAGGTAATCCAAACAATCAAAGGGAAACAATGCAGTAACACCTGATAGTGTGCAGGGCTAATAACTTGGGATATGG